TCACTTCCATGTATTTCATTTTATATCCTTTTATGTCCATATTTTATGGTTTGCTTTAAGCATTTTTATCTTAACTTGTTGTCAGAGAAGGATTAATGTTTGACAGAGAACTTCTCACGTGTCTGTATTTTATTTATTTCCTTTTATGCCAATATTACTTGATTTGCATCAAGCATTTTCTAGTGTTTGAGATGTAGAAATTACAGGACATAATTCATAGTTTGACCGAAGTTTGTTTTCCTATTCATTTAGTATCATGGCGAAAGCTGAAGGTGATGGTAAGGAACCAATGAACGAGCAAGCAGTCGCCAACATCTATGGTGCCATGAGGGCCGAGATCAACCAAATTTACTCCAAAATTACTGAACTCGAGATGGAGGTCAGCGAGCATTCACTTGTGATCAACGCAATTAAACCTCTTGATCCGTCGAGGCGTTGCTACCGGATGATTGGAGGTGTCCTTGTGGAAAGAACCATTAAAGAAGTCTTGCCGGCTGTCCAGCGCAACAAGGAGGGGATTGAAGAGGTAATTAATCGACTTAACGAAGCCTTGGAGAAAAAGAAAAAGGAGGTCACTGAATTTGAGGCCAAATACAAAATCAGAATTAAAAAAACTGATGGTGAAATGAAAGATGAGAGTGGTAAGAAGGAAGGGAATGCACAGGGAGTCCTTGTTGGTCCTGCAACTGTTAATGAGTAGATATTTTTCCTATTAAGCCCTTTCTCGTGCCAGCTTTTTTATTTATAATTAACAACTTTAAATGCTTTGTTGCTTATGGTGTAAACATTATATGATTTCGTCGGTTGGATGTTAAAACTGATCAATTTTGTGCTGTATCTTAGGACTTGCTTGGTTTTTTATGAATTCTGGTAGCCTAAATTGGGACACTTGATTGCTTATATGAGGAGGTTGGCCTTCAAATGTTTTTCAAATATCCGAAATCTTCGACTTGCGCTAAACTCCATCTTCGACTTCACCCAAACCCTGTTTACCAAATGCGCGACCTTGCTGAGCCTGTTTCCGGTCTCCTTCCTACTGTGTTGCCATTTCATTACTGTGTTTGCTTTGTGTTGATTTAGCAGAAAAAGTGTGGTCGAATTTTGGGTCCATTTGGTAGAATTTTTGCTTATTGAAGTGCTTTTCAATGAAGCTATTTTGAATCAGCTTTCTATGAAAGTTATTCTAGCCAACAAATCATTTCGAAAATTATTTAAAAATTTCTTAATATCAGAAACAATTTTTTACTACAAATCATTTCGAAAATTATTTAAAAATTTCTTAATATCAGAAACAATTTTTTACTTTTTAAAAGCTCTGTTAAATGGGTCATTTGTTTTTCAATTAAGAGCTTGTTTGTCTCCCATTATTGAGAGAAAATTAGTGTAATAAATAGTATTTTTTGGAGAATGTGTGGTTGAAAATTAAAGTAACTTTATTAGTTTGTGTATAGAATATTTTATTGGGTGAATGTGTGATGGAGAATCTTACTGTAACAAACAATTTTTTGGATTAATGGTAGACAAACAAGGGCTAAGTGTCAATTTTGATTAGGCCATTTTTAGATTTTTACATACAAAATAAAAGCTTGGAAGCTATTTTTCACTTTCGAAGATGCCATGTCCAAAAATTCCTCAAAAACCATAGGAAGAAATAAAAAAGAACAAAAGGCAAATAAGAAACTATATGACAAAAATTCAAGCAGTCAAATGCTTCTTTAACAAGTGGAAGGTGCAGGTCAAGAGGGTTATACCCTCTCCCAGCAGATCATGACCCCCTTATCTTCATCATCCAAAGAAATCCTGTACGCCCTTTCCTGCAAAAACCCGATCCGACAGCTCAGCCAAAACGGCATTAACAGTTAACAAAACGACACTGGACCCTGCCATCACCCCCAAAACAATTCCAGTAGTTCCCAGCACTTTACTAAAACCAGGCCACTCAATTTCCCTAACTTCCTCTGCCACTCCACTCAAGAAATCGGGTTCCTTTTGCTCCCTCTCCTTCATTGCCTTCTTGATTTCCATACCCAATTCTGATATTCCCTCAATCGTATCTTTCTCAACCCCGTTATCCTCTGGAGGGCTTTCCTGGGTTTGCGATTCAGAGGCAAGACTGGTGTTTTCTTGTTCTTGGGAGGCTTTGTTGAGGAATGTCGAATTGGGGATTTTGGGAATGAAATTAGTGAATTTTAGGGCGTTTCTTGTGAAAATATTAATGGGGTTTTCAGTAATATGGAATTTGGTGGAATTGGGTTGAGTTGATTTTTGAGATGCAATTATTGGAAAGGAAGAAGAGGGGGAGAAAGGCAAGGCCATATTTCTCTGCAAAATGTGGTGTTTGGTGAAAGTAAAGGGTTGTCTTCTACTCAACTAAACCACACAAATATTTTGAAAAAGGATATCTGTCAAATCTATATTCGACTTCATCTTATACAGTTATACATTACTAACATTAATAGTAGAGTGGGTATGATCAAGAACACGAAATTTGTATAGAAAAAAAATAAATTTTAGACAATTTATAAAAAAATATTAATTAATTGTGTTTGATTAATTTACTTTTCAACTTAAAAAATATTATACTTGTCCATTTTTTATTTGGTGGGTAGATGAAAAGGGGATGGATGAGCAAAAGAAAGAGATGGTGAATTATTTGAAAAATAAAAACCACCATTCCCTAAATTAAAAAAAAAAATCCTTGTTTTTGATGAACATGTTGTCACACGATCAAAAGTTAGAAAATATTTTTCATGAAGAAATTGTCAATCAGACACTTCAAAAGTAAGAATTTGGCTGGAAAATGATATTTTCGAAGAAAAATTAAATCAATAAAACACTCTCTTAGTGTTGTTGCTATGTAGATAAAGATATTATTATCATTAAGAACATTTTTAGGCTTGATGAACTTGTTTAGAAAGTATGCCATGTGAAAAACTTCATGTTTCTTTGTCATAGACATGAAAATTTTCAAATAAGAGAATTTTCGGATCAAGATTACTATTAGCATCACCATTAATATTTAGTCCCTGTTTGGTGCATATTATCAACCCAAGAATACATTTTTTTGTTTGATGTGATGAGAATATGTTGTTGAAATAGAAGGAAAAATTATTGATGTGATGGAAAATACTATTGTATCGAAAAATGTGTTGTTGAAAATGAGTAGAAGAATCAGAATGATAAAAATAATGTGACTCAAACATGGGCTAATATTAACATTGTTGCTATCGTAGATATAGGTATTATCAAAAGAAAAACGTTTTTAGGCTTGATGAAATTTTTATGTTTATCCAATCTTGCACCTATTTTGGGAAAAAAAGAAAAGAAAAGAGAAAGACTTTGGAATTATCGTAACAATTAATAGATAATGGATAAATCCTTTCATTTTGTCACGTAAAAGTTAACAATCTTTTTGGCGTTAGTAAATACTTGAGCAATATTATTGTGTTTTTGGAAAAGGCACCGCTATTTCCATCGGCAAATTTTGTATCTCTATTACACTATAAGTTCATTCCTATTAAAATTTAAATTTTATAAAAAATATTATATTCATCGTCGTTTATTTCAATATTAATCTTATTAAATTTATTCATTTAAAAAATATGTCTCGTTTGGTCCCCATTAAAATTATAATTCATTTTTCTCTCACTTCTTATCAATCGCACATTCTCCAGTAAAAATATATTACACATAATCCTAAAATATTTCTTCTTTTTTAATCACAAGACTAAGGTTGCCTCTCACCCTCCATCTAACACTACCCCCAACTCAAACATGAAACAATGATACCTTCTAAGGTCGAGCAAAAGTTGGTGTTGGTCCAAGAAATCATTGGCGATCCAAAGGTTATGTTCAATACTTACAATGACAGAATTGCATTCATTGAAAAACGATAAGTAAAGCAAGATAAAAATGCAAATAAGAAACTTTCTGATTATGAAGAGTTCGGAGTGAGTGTTATAACTCACGGGACAAACCAAAGAGTCCAATTCAGATTTAATAGTCACACATACACGTATAAGAGGTTTGAAAGAATGTCAAATATGATTTGGATGGATTGTTAACCCGAGTATTTGTTCCACTAGAAGCAAAGTAAAAAACGTACCTTTCCCGAAACTGGAAACATACACCTTATGTTTTGAAAAAAAAAAAAAAAAATCAAAAACATTTATCTTTGAAAATTGAATAATGAACATAAAGCATAGTATTAAAGATACTGTAGTTATCGAGCAAATTACACTAAAAAAATCTAGAAAAACTATACCCAACCTGTAATTTCTCTCACAAATTATAGAAACAAAGGGCCTTTTCATTTTCTCAACATCAGTTGTCAAAAGTCATCGTAAATTCTACCGAAAGCTTTGCATCTTTTGATAATTATACTCTTTCTATTCCCAAATTCATCATTTCTATTGTTTTGAAGAACTAAAAATGAAGTTGCAAGAAGGTGCGTGTAAGTTGGGGATAAGACGGTAAGTAAAAGGGTTTGAATTGAAATTGAACAACCGTTGAAAATGAAAATTATGCAGAATAGTAAAAATAGAATTGCAGAGAGGGAGGGTAGCAAATAATGGAATAGATAAATGATTTTATTTAGTTTTATTATTGTAATAAATATATATATTTTTAAATTGGATGTATATATAAAAATTGAGGATGAAAATAACGGTATCATTTCGAAAATTAATTAGAAAAGGAGGGCTAACCGCAATATGTTTTCATGCAACTCTACCTTTGGAAATTGGGAAATTAGCGTTATAATCCTTGAATTTTAAATAAATGATTAGTTGGGTCCTCAACTTTGAAAAACGATTATATGGATACTCAACCTATCTGTAATTTTGGATTCCCTAACTCACGGAAACAGTTCTTTAACCATTGGAAAGTCATATATATATATATATAGAAGTTGAAAATTTTATTATTATTATTATAGGTACATGAAAATATAATGTCGTTTGAACATGTATATAATCTCGGACTCAGTTCGAATAAGATTAGAAAGAGCTTAATGGTAAAACACCAAATCATGATATAAGGTTGGATTAGAAGCTCGTCCAATGAGCTCAACCACATGTCGCCATCATTTATGAACATCATTATTACTCATCTGGAAAGGCGTCTCCTACTATATTGCTACCTCCTAAATAATAACTCCTAAAATGACAAGTGTCAGATGTGTGTCAATACATTTCCACCCACCAATCGAAGGAGAATAATGATTGTTTAGGCTGCAGACAATCACGACATAGGCAACACCTATGTCACGAACAGGATTATGGTCTCACTTAATGAACTCAACAACCAAACAAAACTCTCACATCTCGAGGTCGATAATGTAGCTCGATGTGAGTAGGGACGACAATTACTTGGTTAACGGCTTATAAATAAGGGCAAAACTCACTCTAATAATATACTCCCGAAGCCATCTCTTATAAATTTAAAGTTAATTTAAATTTGTCAATTCATTTTTACTCATCAACATATTATATATGTACGTTACATGTTCAATGTCTTACAACATGAATGCACGGCGTTCCTCTTTATCAATAATGTTAAAAAATTTCGACATTTACAAACGATCTGCCGATTTTCATTGGACTGATTCACCAATTTTGATATCAAAACTGGATTGGTCATCCGATTGAGACCTCGTTCAACTGTTGATTGGACCGATCGATCCAGTCCAACTTTTACAAT